AACGCATCATGTCTCATTATGTTGACTACGTTGTAAGCTCTCACTGTTGTAAGAAGTTTGATAAAATATATTTTGTTGTTTCCTTGAAATCTAGAAGACACACAATGTTTGCAAAGAAATTCAATTGCATATGTTATGTCTATCTTCTGAAAAAAGAGAAGCTAGCCCACCCACCCCCCTCCGAAAATCCTATGTTTGTTTTTCAAAATAACGCCTATCCTTCCGAAATTTTGCATAACTAGGCATGTGTTGGAACATGTACTAGCCTTATATTGTTTAGACCACTTTTTAAAAAAATATTTGGTTGCCCTCTCTCCCGACCTATGCCTTTAAATGGCCCGACTCAAATTTTTATTACATCTCATTACACGATAATTTTTTTTCTCTTTCTTCTGTCAACAAAAATGTTTAAATTTTAAGGAATTTTATTCTCACCTATTTTAAAATACGGTCCCAGTAATTTGTCCCTGAGTTAGGAGGACCGCCAAACGTCATTTTAAAGATGGTCTAAAATATTTAATTATATTGATTGTTTTCTTTACTCTGTAAAATTGTAATTTGGACAATATGGGTAAATTGATAAAAAGTTTTTTTTTTCAGTAAACCTCCCAAACCACTCTGAATGATTTCATTTCTTTTCAAATGGTGCTCCGATGTGATGAAAATTTAATGGGTGCTCAATTTTCCTTACCTGGAATCAAAGAGTTTAAGATTTTTTTTATACATCAATTCAATACGTTCGCTATTCAACAACTGTTTGATAATAATACAAATTACATTAAGTCAAGCTTTAACACATTTCCTCTTTTAAGAGTGTTCATATTATTTGAAACATGTTGCAACTGGTATTTCTCTTTAACATTTTAAGATTATTATGAACCAGTACCTACATATTTAGAAGAGGTCTGGAAAACAAATTTTGTGCTAAAAATAGACCACGTGCTGCTATCTACTTTCATGGCTCTTTACACTCATTTGGAAGACAACAGTACCCTGTTTTGAACTTGAAAATACCATTTAGAAGTAGAACCTGTAATGTAAGCTTTGACGTTGTGAAGTTCAACGTAGGAAAAAGATGACACAACTTTAAAATTTATTCATAAATGTTTAAGATTAATGAAATTTTCATTTATGTTTCATTCAGTGTAAAATATTTTTGTTGGTACAGTAAAACTCGGTTATAACGAAGTCACAGGAACCTATGAAATTACTTCGCTATATCCGTAACTCGTTGTAGCCATATAAGGAATTCAGGAATTAGATTTATAAAGCTGGGGATCCCAATCTAATTAAAATTAGATGTTAGATCCGCTCGCATACTCGCTACACTTATACTCAGTGTAGCGAGTATGCGAGCGGATCTAACATCTATAATTTTAATTAGATTGCTTGGGATCCAAGATGACTTCGCTATATCCGTTAATTCGCTATATCCGTGTTCGTACTTAACGAGTTTTGCTGTAATTAAATATAAAAAAACTTATGGAAACGTGCCTCAATATGTTAAAAGGACTTATCTATATCATTTTCATTTGTTTGCCAAATTGAAGATTCAAAATGTAACATATATTATGAGAAACCTTGTAGAATTAAATACATTATTACATTTTTACCCGTGAAATACGGTGATTTATTCATTGAATAATATGATATCCTGTCACACTGTGAAAAGATATCAAAATGATATCCTGTCACAGTGTGACGAATGTCAGAAGTGCGGGAAAACTGTCGATTTCCCTTCCCATAACGAAGATTGCTGTAAAGAAAATCTCCATTAACCTTATATAAGATATATGGAAATAAATAAACCATTCTGACAACGAATAAAACTGTCAAAGTTACCAAACATATGTTGCTAAATCCATGTTTACAGTGTTTTCACCTCACATAGCTATGACGTCTCAACCGCTCAACTATGACGTCACGAGTCTATGACTGTTTTACAAAAATACAGAGACAAAGGAAAAATCAAAGAATTTTTTTTTTTTAAATGTAATAAACAGAAAATTCAATGTTTTGTAGCTGAATATGGAATTTATTTCACGAGTGGGACAGGATTTTTTGATATTTTCACTCGTGCTTCGCACTCGTGAAATTATCAAAAATCCTGTCCCACTCGAGAAATAAATATAGGATCTCCCATGGTTTGTGGTTTGATATGATTTTTATCCAACGAGTTGTGTGTTTTCTATCCCCGAGCCTTGGCGAGGGGATAGAAAACACACAACGAGTTGGATAAAAATCATATCAAATCACAAACCATGGGAGATTCTTTTTATCACATATTTTTGTTCACTATAGATGTGTATTTTGTCGTTATTTCTAATCCAAAGTTCCTTTTCGGTTACCTCGGACCAAATAACGTAATAAATAGAATTACGCTGTATGAAATAGTTCGTACAAATATAAAAGAAAGAAAATATTTCATCGGTTATTTTTTTAGTTCAGGAATGAAATTTTGTTAAAATACATCAAATAAAGTGAAATTTGACAAATTAAGTCATTCTCTCTATCATACACATGTATCTGTTTATTTATATCAAGTCGCGCGGCGTAGGAATACATAGTGTTGATACGAAAACGATATCACATGAGCTATATCAACGGGATAAAGGGGAAAATATGTGATAAATTCCATATTCAACTACAAAACATTGAATATCCTCTATCTACACCATGGTCACAGTTCGTGTGGTATGTAATAAATCAAGGCTCTTTTCGACATAACGGCAAAATATGGATAGTTTATTGGGTCTAATAAAAGTGCAACAAGCTTTTGATTTTGGTTGGTCAAATTATTTTGGCTGTCGTGTACGACAAAACGATCGGAAGTAATGGTTACAAAGTATGGTAAAATATAAATTTGCTGTATCTCAATAAGCTTGAAATTGCGGTAACCATTTTATTGGTGTTCATTTTGGTCGTATGGATAACCAGTGGATAGATCAGGTAGACATGAAGGTATGGAAAACAAGTGGATAGATCAGGTAGGCATGAAGGTATGGATATCTGATGGATAGATAAGGTAGACATGAAGGTATAGATGACCAGTGGATAGATCATGTAGGCATGCAGGTATGGATAACTACTGTAGTGGATAGATCAGGTAGGCATGTAGACTTGAAGGTATGGATATCTGATGGATAGATAAGGTAGACATGAAGGTATAGATAACCAGTGGATAGATCATGTGGGCATGAAGGTATAAGATATCTTATGGATAGACAGGGTTTTATAAAATCTTATATCAGGTCTTAGAGAAGATGAAGGAAATATTTTAATTTCCAATGTTAGCATGTATATTTTAACTATATTTTGCCTGATTTATCAGTGCCTACAGAAAGTATGTCATTTTTAAATATATATTTGTTATAACTTTTTTCTTTGTTTTTTACATCCTTTATTTGTACGCTTATTTCAAATATAGGAGAAATTTGTCGAATTTTTCCCAGTTAAGTCTGGTTTTGATTTTCATCGATTTTGAATTAAATGTATTAAATGATTTCAGCAGTATAGACGTGACGTATATTCATACAAAATGCTGTATAATGTTAAACCATAGTTTTGTGTTAAATTTTCCTTTAGACCATGCTGATTTAGATATCTTTCTTATACAGGAATATAAATCTCTCTTCATAGATAAAGGATATGTAAATACAAACTTTCTAAGAATGTTAGCGGAGAAGGACATCAAACGAATAGGGACCGAGAAAGTCTCTCATCGCCAGAAACTGTACTGGAAAATCCAGAACATTCCGGAATTCAAAATTCCTGTTGACGTTCCGGTTTGTTTTGAAATTTGATTTTCCATTGATGCAAAATTTTTGGAAAGGAAAAAGAAAACAAATGATTATATGAGCACATGATCTTTTGTCATTTTGTTAAAGTTTAAAGAAAAAAAAATCATTTGTAATTATTTTTAATTACAAAAAATACTTTTTCAAATGTATCGTCTTGGCTTTACATGATCGGTTTAGAAGAATACAAACTAAATTTCAATGTAAACCAAATTAAAACAGTCAAAGATACATGTATAATAGCACTAAAATCGTTCACTGAGAAAGAAATTAAGGATGATCTCAAATTAACGAAACCTGGTAAATATTATAATTGAAATATAATTAATTTGTGGTTTGAAATATACTGTAGCATAATTGGCACTGATTTTTGTGCGCATGAATTTAATATTTAAATTTTATATGGTTGAGTTACTTATGTGGCAATATATGCAATGTATAAGCCCATAAAGATACTGCTTCTTAAACTCTGTCCTTGAGGGACAAAAAGCATTGTAATATCTTTAGATTTACGCTTCCATTTTGTCGCTTACTTCTGGTGATGTTTCTTGTATTTTTAGTTTTCAGAATGTTTAGTTATGTAGCATCATCTGATAATAAAAATCGCTTATTGATAACAATATACATACATACTTTCAGTACTTTCAGGTCATAAAACGTTTACTTGATGCCATCGACTCTCTACGCAATCCAACACAAGGTAAAGTCAAACAGAAAAGTATTATAATCAAAGTACTGAAAATACAGAGAAATAAGTAAAAACCAATTCCCCAAACAAAAAAAAAAAAAAAAAAAAGAAGAAAAAAACAGAAAAAAACATTTTTATGATAGTAATTATAACAAAATAAACGTATTTTTAATGTATTCACATGAATAAAAATATATAGACGTATTGTTTTAAATGAAATATTACAGTTGTTTTAGTTAACGTAGATGGGCGAGTTATTTCAAAACTTTTTCTTTCGGTTAATTCAGAGGAGGGGATCATACTAGAAATCAAGGAGCAGATAGGCCGGGCCTATTAACACGATCTACGTATCGTCAACCAGGAGGAGTGCAAGTTCTGGGTGGATCTAATAGAGACGTGCTTAGCGCCCTCTGCCGATACGGTTTTCCATTTCGCACCCTGTATGAATCCGTATTTGGTCACTAATTGACTGTGTAACTAATATTACATATGTTGATTTTAGCGAAACTACTTTACGTAACGAGTGGTTGATGGTATCGGGGATCGTGAATTGTTTGTGGATTGTCATTATAATGACGCTATCAAGTAGTATAGACCTACAGGTGGCTGGGACAAATCCTAGAATAAGCTGTACATCTGCATTCTAAATTTATGAAAGACTCGGGCGGGGGATGGAATGCATGTTTTGTTATGTCAATTTTTCTTCTTCAACAGATTTAACCTGGTCATTTGAAAATATTTTTCTAGTCCATTTCTTCAAAATGCTTAATCTACATTTGCCTTCGTTTTTCGTACCTGTACTAAATAACTTATTTAGTAATCATGTCTTTTAAACAAAACAAACCATTATGTATCTATAAGCTTTTTCCTTTCTCTAATAACATTATTTTCAGTCCTTTTTTTCTTTAAAGGTTTAGTGTTCCTTATTGCATTTGGATTTTTGTTCGTTCTTCAATTTCTCTGCATGTTGGTTCACAGATTTACCACGCCCTCCTACTTCCTTGCGCGTGCACCGTACAAGTTTGGACAAAATTATCGTACGTCCGTTGCTTTCCTCTCACGTGACCTAGACCCGGACGATGAAGATTTGGCAAGAGAAGCTAGGAGTTTAGAACTACAAATTCTGGAAAGAATGGAGAAAAATCTTAGTTTAGGAAAACGGAAGCGGAGTACCAATCACCATGGCAACCATGACAGTACTTCCGAGAATGCATCACTGCTATCTAATCATGTTAATGACGTTTATCAGGGTAACCAAAATACTGGGACATATGATGCTGTGTAAAAGCCACTTGTTTGGAATAACTGTTAAAACCAATTGTGATGAAAAATGAAAAGCAAGACCGATATTGCAGATAAAACAGTAACATAAGATTCGGTATCAAACTGACTTGATGATCTGCGTACATATATAATATTGAGTGTTTCCAATATTAATGTACATCTAACTAGCGCTGTTGAAAGAAAAATATGACACTGCTGGTAACTTTTTTTCTCGATTATACTGAAATAGAATGGAAATTTATATATTGTGTGCAATAACATTACATAATATATGCAAAACGTAATCTTTTTGGAACATTGTGTTCTAAAATGTGGAAAAATTTGTTTTAAAAAAGTTTAACATTAAAGCCATTTGTGAAAAACGACATTATCCTATAAATTTATGTCAGACATATAAACTGAAATACAGTTCAATTATCTAGTGGAAAAAACAAAATTTTGGAAATATAGAGTTATCTCACTAAGACAAATATTTAGTTGGTGTACTACATATACGTTGTTAAAATGCATTTTTGAGAGTATAACATATTTAAATTTGTCACACAAAAAAGAAATAAAATATGGGATAAATTTGTTGTCGAAAGACATGAATATAATGCATATTACATCAAATCTATTTGTATACCAAGAATAACCTATGAAAGCCTTTGGCTTATTTCCAATGGGGTCCCTAAACTCACACAATAATATTGGATGCTAAATAGAATAAACAGACAAATAAATATTTTGCTAAGTCATGCGGTCAAGTTGACAACATAGAGATCCTTCACGTGGTCGAGATAATAAAAACTGATAATAAAAAAGAAAAAAAACATGATTTGACTTTCACACAATAGGTATGTCCAAGCATGCTTTAATTTTTGACACCTTGATCTTGAGAATTGACCTAATTAAAAAAAATATATATCAACAATTTTAAACATCAATATTTATTAATACATGTATGTATTTTTTTAAAACAATGCTTTGCAAATTTTTGCAGTAGTATTTATCACTATAATTATTATTGTTTTATTTATTCATTCAAATATTTACTTTTAGAGCAGTTTACACTGTTATAACACCGGAAATATAAAAAAATTATTTAAGGGGCAATATCCCTCTGATAAGAGAGATAACTCTTCTTACAAGATAGATAACTTTCTTCAGACATTTTGTCTTGAAATTCAGTGAATTGTCATGTCAGAGTTTACAAATTTCATTCATAAGAACCATTTTATAGTCAACTCAATCAAACTTTATCTATGGTACAAATGTTGATTTATAGTTTCTAATGCTAGTATGCACATTAATTATTTGTAATAATTTACTTAAAACATTTATACTCAGTATCTTTAAACAGTGCAAATTGAGAAATTTCTATCTCTTACAGTATAATTCTTTTAACTGTACAGAAATTTCAGATGCAGTATTGTTTATAAACATTTAATTAATATTTTGCTTCATTAAAAAATATTTTCAAGGGCGATAATGGAACGATAACTCTTGTTAATGGATGCATGTTATTTTAAATGCACAGAAAACAATTTGTAATTGTGATTTAAAAAGCAGCGCTTCAATATGTTTTCTAATGGGAGTTAGATAGGTATGAGAGTAAATATTATTTTTATATATACTGTTATGGGTCAGAATAACCCTAAATGCCAGCAAAGATCAATCACACAGTTTAAACTTAAGGTATTCATTGTATAATGAATAATATAATGAAGGGATATATAATATAATGAAGGGATTTTGACTGATTTTAAATAATTTTAAACTAGTTAAAAAGCACACAGCTAGAAAACGATAAAAGTGAAATAAACCAAATTCACAAGACTTATAACATGTACGGAGACGGTCATTTTGCACATTTACAGTTTTTGAAGAGTTATCTGCCCTTGATGAAAAGAAGAAAATTTTTGATTTCACAAAATTTCTGCGGTAAATAATTTATTTTATTTTATATTTCAATAAATAGGGAGTTTATGCATATTTTCACCAAGAGATTTCTTTGAAATTCAAATTACTTTTTACAATATTTTATAAAAACATGCACTGCCCATAGACTTCAATGTAAAATTCAAAGTGATATTAATTGGACAATAATCAAAATTTTGTAAATTCCTTTGGTGGAGCATTTTCATTTGATAATATCTTCAAATTGCTACCATGATTAAAAATGTTGGACCGTTCATTTATTAGGTACAAAATATGGTTGTTATACATTGAATACCTTAACAATAATTTATTTACAGTATTATACAAATCATTAAGTACAAACTTAGCAAAAATCTAAAAATACATACTTCAGAGTGTCCGTTGCTGCACACAATGCCCCAGTGAAATTATATCCCAGTAATACCTCAATGATGCTTATACGACAATGGTATCTATGCATCGAATTGACGGGATATTTATACAGTAATATAAATCTAGAATATTCTAGAAGTTGTAAGTACATGATATTCCTGGAAAGTTCTGGACATGAATAAAGTTCAAGAATGTTCTAGAAAAAATGACTAAACATATTGACCACTCTGGAATGTTCAAGAAACTTAATGTTACTAATTATATACATAATGAAACAATGCAAATACAACACATCTCACAACACCTCCCCCCTTAAAAAGTTTGAATGTCAATGAAAACTTATAAAAGTTATGTACATTAATACAAAATCTAATTTGTTCATGATACTCTGGACAAGGCATCTGCAATAACATTGTCTTTGCCTTTGATATGCTTAATTGTTATGTTGTATTCTTGTAACAATAAACTCCATCTAGTCAGTCTTTGATTCTTGTTTGACAATTTATGCAAAAATGTCAGGGGGTTGTGATCCGTATATACAAGAATTGGATGCAAAGTAACTTTCAGATAAACATCAAAATGCTGTAAGGCTAACAACAAAGCAAGGCATTCCTTTTCAATAGTGGAATACTTTTGTTGACATTTTGTAAGTTTCTTTGAAAAATAAGAAACTACTCTATCTACCTTATCACTATGTTCTTGAAACAAAGCTGCCCCGATTCGAACATCACTAGCATCAACAGTAAGCTTGAACTGCTTAGAAAAATCTGGAGTTGACAGAACTGGATTGCTCATAAGGACAGATTTGATTTTATGAAAGGATTTTTCACAGTCCTTTGTCCATTCAAAGTTAACCCTCTTTTGTAAAAGATTTGTAAGTGGACTAACTACGGAGGAAAAATTTGGACAAAATTTTCTGTAAAACCCAGCCATGCCCAAAAACCTCATTAACTCTTTCTTGTTTGTAGGAATCGGGAACTTTGCAATAGCTTCCACTTTAGCCATAATTGGTGTAACATAACCTTGACCTTCTTTATGACCTAAATACTCTACATAAGCATGACAAAATTCGCTCTTCTCAAGGTTCACAGTTAAGTTTGCTTTAGCTAAAATGTCAAATAAAGCACGCATGATTCGGAGATGTTCGTCCCATGTGTCGCTGTATATGATGACATCATCAATGTAGGCCTCGCATCCCTCAAGGTCTTGAAGAAGGGAGTGAATCATCCTTTGGAATGTAGCCGGTGCGTTTTTCATGCCAAAAGTCATTACTTTATACTGGTAAAGTCCATCTGGTGTAGCAAAAGCAGATATTTCTTTTGCTCTTTCTGTTAACGGCACTTGCCAGTAGCCTTTCAACAGGTCAAATTTACTGACAAATTTCGCGTTTCCAATGTTGTCAATACAGTCATCGATTCTAGTTATTGGATATGAATCAGTTTTGGTAACAGAATTCACCTTCCTAAAGTCTGTACATAATCGGTAGGAACCGTCCTGTTTTGGTACAAGAATACACGGTGAGCTCCAATTACTTTTACTAGGTTCAACAATGTCATTGTCCAACATATACTGCACTTCCCTTCTTAGGTACTGCAATTTTATTGGATTGAGACGGTACGGATGTTGTTTGATAGGCAGAGCGTCGCCAACTATAACATCATGACAAGCTGCATTAGTTTTCTTTGGAACATCCGAGAAGATTTGATGATACTCATTCATCAAGTTTTTAACTTGTTCTTTTTGGTGAATGTTCAAATGTCCAAGTTTGGCATCAAAATCAGCAAAAATTTCTGAGTTTTTCAAGCGAACACTCTGATTACAATCTTTCTCATTTGTTTCTACACTCGTATCACTCTCAATACAATCTTGAACAGTCTTAGCATTGGCTAAAGTGGAAACTGGTTTTACAGAATTTCGGTCACACCTTTCAAAATACTCTTTTAACATGTTAATGTGACAAACCCGTTTCTCTTTACGTCGACCTGGTGTCTTAACTACATAGTTTACATCACTAATCTTGCTTTCAATTTCATAAGGGCCATAAAATCTGGCCTGTAAAGGATGACCAGGAATAGGTTAAAATACAAGAACCTTGTCACCTGGCTTAAACACCCTATTTCTGGCATCTTTGTCATACCACATTTTCATTTTCATCTGAGAACTCTTCAAATTTTCTTGTGCTAATTTACAAGCATTGTAAATTTTTTCTTTGAAATCAGACACATAATCTAAAAGATTAAGATCACTAGTCTCAGTCAGCCACTTTTCCTTCAACAATTTCAAAGGACCCCTAACCGTATGACCAAACACCAATTCAAAAGGACTAAACCCAAGAGACTCCTGGACTGCTTCTCGTGCAGCAAATAGTACAAGATGAACCCCTTGATCCCAGTCTTTTTCATACTGGTAACAATAGGTCTTCAGCCTTGTTTTTAGGGTTTGATGAAAACGTTCTAGCGCTCCCTGGGACTCAGGATGATAAGCAGTTGATCGATACTGCCTAATACCCAACTCATGCATGACTTGCTGGAACAACCCCGACATAAAATTTGAGCCTTGATCCGACTGAATTGCCTTTGATGCACCTACAAAACTGAAGAACTTGGTTAGGGCCTTAACTATGCTCTTTGCCTTTATATTCCTAAGAGGTATGGCTTCAGGGAATGGAGTGGATGTACACATAATGGTAAGTAAATACTGGTTCCCAGATCTGGTCCTAGGCAAAGGTCCTACACAATCCACCAACACTCGACTAAACGGTTCTTCAAAAGCTGGAATTGGTTGGAGAGGGGCGGATGGTATCTTCTGATTCGGTTTACCTACCATCTGACAGACATGACACGACTTACAAAACTCAGAAACATCCTTCCTTAGCTTAGGCCAATAAAAATGACTCAAAATCCTATTATAAGTCTTATTGATACCTAAATGACCAGCCATAGGTGTATCGTGAGCTAAACTCATGACATCTTGATGATAAGCAGCTGGGACCACTATCTGGTGAACAACACGCCACACTTCATCTGGGGAAGCGTCAGG